TTAAATTTTTCATGCAGGCGTTATCCGCCTATATACATATATACAGACATATAGAATTATGTATTACATTTTTTAATTCAACATTAATTTGTGTCTTCAATTCCAAATATGATTGTTGTGAATGTAAAAGGTGTGTTTCTGCTTTTGTAAATCGCATGAATACACTCACAAAATAGGCTTAACGGTAAATGACTCTTAGATTTGTTCAGGATACATTTGTAGCGTTGTTAGCTAACACTAAAACGGTAAGTCGCTGTAAATATGTGATCAGCTGAGATGCTAGAGATGGGCATGTGTCGGATGCTCTATGTGCTAGAGCATCAAAATCTCGATCCGTCGATACAATCAATAATTCCATCGAAGTATGAATGCAAATTACTGAAAATTTAAATAATAACATCTTATAATTTATTGAGATTAATTAGAACAAATCATATACAAACATACATAAGTACCTCTGCCCGCAACGCGAAGCAGAATATGTGTAGGGCCGCTTTCGGTTTCTGCTTTACTATCGCTTACGCAGTCGTTGCCTAGCGACGATAACTGTAAACTTTTGGAATTTTGCCTTTGAAATTAACAGGCGTAAATGATCAAAACGAAAGAAGAAGCGCGAGCCAATGACTTGAAGTTGTTGTTGTTTTTCGATTTAAAAATTTGATTTAAAACCATAGAACATTATTTATTACAATCAAACAACAGTGCTCGATGGTCCAATGTATACATACATACATACATACATACATACATACATACATATGTATGTACATGTGCATGCATGTTTCTATTTACTTTTTCAACCGTACGTAGAGAACCGCACACATAGACACGAACTGTTGCTTGTTCTGTGTGTGAGTGTGTGTATATGATGTTCCCAACTATTTGATATTTGCGTTATTTGTAATTTGTTGTTTCTGCATAAAGTTACTAATGAAAACCCTAATGCCAAATGTACTAAACAACGAAAAAATTACTTTTAAAAATGTTAAATAATTTTTTAATTAATTAACATTTCTTGCTCTGTCAGTGCAAGACGAATGAACATACATACATACATACATATATGTGTACATGTACATAGATGTGTACATATGTATGTGTGTACATTCACACATTAGTGCCTCAGATTTTGCTTTGGCTATTTCAATCAATTGCACGCAACTACACGAACAGCTGCTTGTATGTGTGTGTGTATACCTAGTTGTCCCCAACTGTTTGAAATTGTGTATTGTTTGTTCTGCCTGCTTTTGTAAAATGCATATTTTGAAAATCCTTGAATGCAAAGTTGTAGATTTAGTTACGTATATTACAGTCCCCAAATTTGGAATCGATCGGAAAACATGTATAACACAAACTTTTCATTTGAAAAGGTGAATAAATATTAAAACCCCAATAATTCAAGCTCCACCACAAATCGAAAATCCGAGTATGCAGTTTTGTTTGTATTCTTTTACAGAATTTAAAAATCCAATTTAAAGTTGATTGGTGGTAAACTGAAGATTTTTCAAACAAACTTTGGAGCTCGAATTTTCCAAAATCCCTTCTTAGTGGTCACCTACACTATGATAGGATACTTGAGCCCAAATTTCAGCTTCCTAGCTTTTACCGTTTGGGCTGTGGGCTGTTGACGCGGTTTCCTTTTGTGCCCCAACATTTTTTTTTACAGGAAAACTCCTATATTTCAGTCCCCAAGAAAAATCTTAAAGAAACCAAGTATGCAGTTTTTCTTGGACTTTTTCTGGGAGTATACAAACTAAGTTTGAAGTTAATCAGATGTAAATTGTAGATTTTTCATACAAACTTTGGAGCTCGATTTACCCCCTTTGGAGAAATCCCTTCTTATCGCCAGCCTACACTATGAAAGGATACTTGAGTCCAAATTTCAGCTTCCTAGCTTTTACCGTTTGGGCTGTGCGTTGATCACCAATCAGTCAGTCAGTCAGTCAGGACAAACTTTTATATATATAGATTGTATTTTAGCACAGTTAGATTGGTCTCATTTATATGCGTGTAACGATATGGACATTAAGAGCACAATTAATATATTTTATGGTGCTCTTAACTTTGCGCTTGACGCTTGCGTTCCTATTTGTACTCTACGGCCATCGCGTCGTGTGCCTATTAAGTCCAGGTTATATAAGCGTTTTAAAAACTTCAGGTCCAACTCCGATTTTTACAAATTCGTTCTCAGTTTCTAATATAAAATAATCAATGTTATGCCAAGTACTTAACACGATGCAGACTTAATTTTACTCAAGACCCAAAGCAATTTTTGTTAACTCTAAAAAAAAATGATGACCCCCCAGTTACAACATCATTGCAGGTCCATAATTTCCCCGTTCCAACATGGATTTATGAAACGCCGCTCTACCTCAACGAATCTCCTCGAGTTCTCATCGTTTGTATTGAATGGGTTTTTAGCTAAGTGCCAGACGGATGTTGTCTACATTGACTTTAGCAAAGCTTTTGATTCTGTCAATCATGGGCTATTAATCCACAAGTTGGGGTGTTTGGGATTTCCCAAAAGTCTTATTGTATGGATATCTAGTTATTTGTTTGGAAGAACACAGCGTGTAATTTTTAACGGCGTACTACCAAAAGCTATCAAAGTAGTGACAGGGTAGTCATTTAGGTCCTCTACTGTTTACTCTTTTTATAAATGATCTTCCATCATCTTAACTCACTCTCGTGTCCTAATGTATGCCGATGACGTAAAACTTTGCCTTTCTTATAATGATGTTCAGTTTCATGATAATTAACAGTTTGATCACAAGGCCCCGCAATCTGTTGGACCTAAATTTTGTTTAATGTAAGCTAATGACGTTCCACCGATGCAAGCTTTACTTCGTTTCATATTATTTAAATAACATTGCTTAAGAACGGATTTACACTGTTAGCGTCTCATGTGTACTGTTTGATGCTAAACTTTGTTTTAACGATCACATATCCACCTTTGTTTATAAAGCAAAGGGCACTCTAGGCTTTATTAAACGTTGGGCGAAGTAAAGACCTACAAGATTTTTTGCTGCCTTCAGCCTTAATCGCTGTACCACCCACTACGCTTATGTGTCCGTATGCCAAGTTTCATCATGATAGGTTAAGCCTGAAGAAAGTTACAGCCATAAACAAAATCACTGCCCATGCTCTGCTGCTCTGGTGCTTTGGTTCAACTTTGTGCTGCATACATATACGCATATAAACACACATAGACACGTGATGTAAATGTATGTATGCTGTTAAAACTGTACATAATCATGTCTTCTATGTATGTATTAAATAAATTTTCTGTACTAATTTAATTAATCAATTAAATTTTTTTAAATTAATAATATTTATTTTTTAATATTTTGGTTTTTCCTTTTTTGTGGAGAGTACAGGCTATTTTACTTTTGATCTTGCTCGACTGTAGCGTTCTCTCTTGTTTTTGTTTCTATTGTTTTTATTTTTAATATCTGAATGCATATCCCATATGTTTTTTCGTTATGTTATGTTTTATGTTTATGATATTAACAGATATTTGTCAGAAATAAATAAATATTTTTATAACCTGTACCCAAAGGGTGAAAGGCTATATTAGTTTTGTGCGAATGTATGTAACATACAGAAGGAGAAGGCAGACCCCACAAAGTATATATATTATTGATCAGGATGACAAGTCGAGTCGATATAGCATTTACGAAAATTCACCTAACTTTTATTCCACCAAACCAAATTACTTATTATACAAGGTGTGTTCCAAAGTAAACAGGACTTTAAAAAATAAACAGAACAAATGGTTTTTCGGTAAAATCAATTTATTTTATTCAAAATAGTCTCCTTCTGCTTCAATACAGCTTTTTGCACGATCCAAAAGCATGTCGAACGAGTGTTTTAGCTCGTTGGCCGGTATGGCCGCCAATATGCCGTTGCAATCCTTTTGAATGGCCTCTACGTCTGCATGACGCTTTCCTTTCATGGGCAAATCCGAAAAGGTAGAAGTCGCACGGTGCCATATCAGGTGAATACGGCGAGTGGTTAATGGTTAAAATGTGATTTTTGGTCAATTAATCGGTCAAAAGCGTCGAACGATGAGACGATTCTAAGCAATTTTTGGTCGTCAGTCAATTTGTGCGGAACAAACCGTACACACCTTTGTAAGCCCAAATGTTCGGTAAAAATGCGATAAATTTCCATCAATTTCAATGATGATTTCGGCTAATTTTTGATGAATTCACGCACAGTTTCGATGGAATTTTCGGTGATCACGAATTTTGATTGGCTCATATGTTGATCGTCATTTATGTCCTCACGACCACTTTGAAAACGTTGAAACCACTCGTGCACTCTGTTACGGGATAGGCAATCATCGCCATAAACTTGTTTCATCAATTGAAACGTTTCGGTAAAAGTTTTACCAATTTTAAAACAAAATTTAATGTTGGTTTTTTGTTCGAAGCTCATTATCGCACCGATAACACAAACATACTGACCCTTAAAACGCAATAACTTCACTTCCGATCGATGAAATCATGTAATTCTCACTAGACAATCGATAAAGGTAGCAGATTCTAACGCACCAGTCGACATATAGATAGCGCCACCAGGGGGCGCTAGATTCAAAAAGTCCTGTTTGTTTTGGAACGCACCTTGTATAATTTAATATACAAGTATTTATACTCTGTACATAAAATGAACAAGAGTATATTAGGTTTGCGGGAGCTGAAAATGTAACAGGCAGAAGGAGGCGTGGCAGACCCCACAAAGTATATATATTCTTGATCAGCATGACGAGACAAGTCGATCTAGCCCAGTCTGTCTGTCTGTCCGTATGAACACCTGGATCTCATAGACTATAAGAGCTAGAGGCACAAAATTTTGCAGAAAGATGCCTTATGTGTGTACGCTGTGCAAGTTTGTTTTATTTTTTGATTTCCAAATTTTAAATTAGATTAAATGAGCAATGTGTACGGATATTTTAACATATATATTCTTTAAAATATTGATATCTTTATTTGTAACAGGACGAGCATCCTAAGAAAACAAAGAGACATACAACGCCTGCAAAAAATCGTAAAACTAATAAATCCAAGTCATTTGGGAAGGGTGAGTTTGCCACTTCCATCCTATACTCTTATAGTTAAAAATTATTTTTTCTCACTAACCCACAGGCATTAGTCGACCGAAGCACTCGAAGAAAGAATTAATAGATGATGAAGAATCCGATGAGGATGAACCCTTAAACAAAAAAGGAAAATTGGCTTTTCCTACGGTGCGTTTTTCTATTAAATTATATGTTTATATTATATGTATTTGATTGTACCTGTATTTGTATGTGGCGTTGGTAATAATGAGTTTATCATCGTCAATTCGTGCTACTAATCGTGTTTGTGTGTGTACAGGGTATGTCACTTTATACTTTGTATCCAAAGGGTAAAAAGGTACGGCAGATCGTACAGTATAGATATATTCGTGATCAGTATGACAAACCGAGTGGATAAAGCCTGGTTGGTCTGTTGGACCGTCCATATGTATGAACACAAGCATATCAGAAACAAAAAAGAGAAAACGCTACAGTCGAGCAAGTCTTACAATAAAATACTCTGTACGCGCTCCCACAGAAAAGGAAAACATTAAAAAAAGTTTTTTAAAATTAATTTTAAAAACATTTATTTAATTAGTTAAATAAAATACAAATTACTCAATACATAAAAAAAATTAATTCAAACAAGTAAAGAAGCTAAAGTCGGGTGTCCCGACTTTGAAATACTCTGTACATATGTTTAGAATAATTATAGAAATTAAAAAAAGTAAGAAAATTAAAAAAAAAATTTTTGATCGATTTTACCTCTTTTGGTATTCGAACTCACGTAAAGGGTGTATAATTGCACATATACAAAGCAATTGCGTCTATGTTAGTGTACAACTATGTATGTATATGCTCGTATATTCGTGTCTGTGTAAACAGGTTAGCAGTCAACCAAACAGCAACATCAACAACAGCCGCGGGCAGCGCTTGAGCAGCAGCAAATATATTTATGGCTATAACTTCTTGTTAAATCGGTCTATCATAGTGAAACTTGGCATACGGCATATAATAACTAACTAAAGGCATTTGCGTTCGAAATTCTAAGAATTACGGGAGTTAGAGAAAATCGCGATTTGCATGGGAGAAGGGGGAGGGAGGGAAATTCCAAAATACATATTTTCTGTGTATTCACATAAGGCATCTGAGACTAAAATTTGGTGGCGATTATACGAATGGAAAATTGGGAAAACCCCCATAGGGAAGAAGTGGGGGGAAAATCAAAAAAATAAAACAAACTTGCACAGTGTACACACATAAGGCATCTTTGTGCAAAGTTTGGTGTCTCTACTTCTTATAGTCTCTGAGATGAACACCTGGGTTCATACGGACAGACGGACAGACAGACAGACAGGGCTAGATCGACTCGTCTCGTCATGCTGATCAAGAATATATGTACTTTGTGGGGTCTGCCACGCCTCCTTCTGCCTGTTACATTTTCAGCTCCCGCAAACCTAATATAGTCTTGTACATTTTATGTAAAGAGTATAAAAATTAACATATACATTAATGAAAACCAAGCCTGTTTTGAAAAAAATATGCTCACATTTATACGGAATATGCTTAGCAAATATGAGTGTTTATTTATTTTATTTATTTAACAGGATGAGCAAATTCGCAATTACGTGAAAGAGATTTTGGATGAGGCTAATCTCGAAGAGATAACTATGAAAACAGTCTGCAAACAAGTTTATGCGAAATACCCAGATTTTGATTTGACAGAAAAGAAAGATTTCATAAAGGCAACCGTAAAAGCGGTAAGTTTTTAGTTATTTTGCTATTATAAGTTAAACTTTATCCCATATTTTTGTACTCCTCTTTTTTTAAGTTGATTGCTGCATAATACTTCAAGCCACGGTATCATCAAAAGTTGTAGCAAACATTAGAAACAACAACGACGGAAAAGATGTTATTTCATAATTATGTCATTATATTAAGCTCCTAGTTTTCCTGTATTTGTATACATTCAATAATATAAGAATATTATGTTTATTTTTTGACTTGTCAACAATAACAAACTGGTTTCTTTGATGTTACCGAAGACTTAACATTTATAAAGTATACATACATATATGTACATATTTTAATTATCAAAATATTTTGTTCGATTTTTGCAACGCATTTAGTTACAATATAGAGTTGGTAATTGGTTTTAAAAGTTATTTTACTCTTTCTATAAAATTAATAGAACATAAGTTGATTTGAAAATTGTGAACAAGAATATTAAATAATTAAAGCCACATTATAAAATTGCATTGCTACTTTTTCATTTGAAGATGAATCAAATAATCATAAACAACACTGGCATCAGTACAAAATGTATAAAAAAGGTAACTTCGAATCGAAGCATTTTAAAAAATTTAGATGTTGGGCTGGGAAGGAATATTCTCTTAGTATATATCGATAAAGATATTTAAAAACCTTATTTTAAAGCACAGTATGTTTTTTTATTTGTACAAGGTTTGAATCAGTTTAAATTTGAATTTATAACCTAATAATGACAGTGAAGAATTAGAGCAAACACAATATTTGATTATTCCATATGGCATGAATGTATGTATTACTGTAAAAGCATAAACAAATAGAAAACTGGAAATACTTTTGAAATATTATAAATAAAAATGTGTAAAAAATATATATTTGTGGTCAAATAAAATGCATCTTTGTTTGAAACTTGAAAACGGCATTATATAGTAAAACATTCTATTGTGATGTAATGCTTTATAACCAGAATCGTATTCGTATTTCTACCATATTTGATAGCATTGAACGAAGAAAAGCTTTGTACAAGCTACTACGGCTTAGAGTGTTAAAATAAAAAATATAACGGAAAGGAGTCTTCTTAATATTTGATAATATTCATGTGAATCACCGTTAGTTATGCCACTTTACTTACATATTTTCTTGGGTTATGATAGGTTAGATCAGTAGTTAAGGGTGGTAGAGTGCTCAACAGGCGTAGTTCGTAGTGTTCCACTAAGGTGTCTCAATGTACTGATTCTGTACCTAAAGGGCAAGAGGAAATACTAGTTTAGTGCGAATGTGTGTAGCACACGAAAAAAGGAGTGGCAGACACCACAAAGTATAATATTCTTGATCCAGTATCACAAGGCGTATGACGGGTAGATATTGTTAAAAAAAAGTTGCGACCAAAGTTTCACATTGATTTCTCTATTTTTTCTATTTTTGGCTGCCGATTCGGGTAAAAAACAAGTAGAGAAGCTAAAGTCGGGTATCCCGTCTTTGAAATACTCTGTACATATGTGTAGAATAATTATGCGTGTATGTGTGTTTGTATGTGTCTCTCTGTGTCTGCCTGAGCAAAGCAGTAACAACAACAACAGCTGGGGGCACTGGTTGGTCATATATACCTATATGTTTATAACTTCCTGTTAAATCGGCCTATCGTAATGCAACTTGGCATACGGACTTAGAATAACTAACTGGAGGTATTTGCCAAGTTTGAGTTCCAAATTCCAAGAAATACGGAAGTTATGGGTTACGGTGGAGAGGGGGGAGGGAGGGAAATTCCAAAATAAACATTTTTTGCGTATTCACAAAATCATCTTGAACTAAAATTTGGTGTTCCTAGGTCTTATAGTCTCCGAGATATAGACGATTATATGAATGGATTATTGGGAAAACCCCCTAGGGGAGAAGTGGGAGGGAAAAAAAAAAAAATAAACTTGCACAGCGTACACACATAAGCCATCTTTGTGCAAAATTTGGTGTCTAGCTCGCATAGTCTCTAAGATCCAGGTGTTCACACGGACGGACAGACAGGGCTAGATCGACTCGTCACGCTGATCAAGAATATATATACTTTGTGGAGTCTGCCACGCCTCCTTCTGCCTGTTATACTTGTACTCTTGTACATTTCATGTACAGAGTATAAAAATTGTTCATTCTGAATTGGTCAGTTATATGGGAGCTGTACGGTCTAGTCGTCGGAACTTGACAATTTTGACACATTGTCAACTGAAGAAGCCTATGACAAAACTTTCAGTACAATATCTCTACTATAAGTATTTTTAACTTTATTTCCATACAAGACCGACCACTGTGCGTTGGTCAGGAAATGACGTGGAGTGAGAATCAGGAGGTCAGTTGAATTATCGGCCTTCATCGTAGCTTAAGGAAAGTATTTAAATTATACACGGAGCTTGATGAAGAAATCGACTGCTTGTTCTCCAGGGATTGGAATTCCTTAAGATACTCCCTTCGGTGAAACGGTGACAGGAAGAGCTGTGCCGAAGTCCGATCGAGGAATTCAATAGTTCGCGTTACCTTTGCAAAATTGCTTCTAATGGTAAGTTTCTCCATTTCGGTAAAAAGCACCAGGATACCTAAATATGGGCAGCTCATCGACGAACATAATGTTGTATTTGGTTGTATTTGGCAAGTTACTGTAATACAAATGGACATAAAGGAGCGCAATTTATACTTAAAGTGGCCATGCTCAGTGCATAGTCGCAAAGATCACCATCCTCGTTGCGCAAAAGGATTCTTTGATACAGTTTGTGCTTGGGATCTACAAGGATTTGCGGATACATTACACATACCTGGAAAAATCGGACCTGAGTGGAGGACATCATTTCAACCCTTGACGTTGACGTTCCCTCACTTTTGTAGTGGTACTGTCAGGCTTAAACACTACATGATGAGGGAGATAAAAATTACTGGAAGCGCTGTCAAGGGTGCCTTGCCGCATGCCTTCTTGAACCAGTACAATGGTTCGGGAATGCCCCAGGTCCATGTGATCAGGATGCTTGAAAGGTAAGGTGATAACATACCACTCTCATCCCTCCCTGTAGTTTCGAAAAAATTGTATTCGCATACGGCATCGGATTCTTTCTTCACTCTAACTGGAAGATTCTCTGTCACCCAAAATGTAGTAGGATAATTTGGTAACGAGCCGTCTTGACTCACAGGAACGTGAGCAGAAAAAGAGGGTTCTAGATTACTGGACCAATCAGGATCCTGCCGAAAATCGATTCCTGCCCAATGAAAGCCCATATATATTCTTTTGGAAGGCGCCTAAAAAATGGAAGCAAGGATATCAGCCCCAAAAGCAGTTAATCTGCGAGTTTCTGTGGAACAGGGGGCCATCCAGCTGAACATTTGGCAAGGGGGGGGGGGGGGGGGGGGAATTTCCGGCCAGTTGCGGAATAACAAAGACTGAGGTCTCGACATGGCAAAGCTTATGCGCTTGTGAAGCAACCACTAGGCTAAGACCCGATCGAAAAAAATTACATTTCTGTAATATGTTATATTCAAATAAAAAGTGGATCCGCTTTGTCAAATATTTCATTCCGCTATACGCCATTTTCTATCCCTACCGTTTGTATCGAGAAACTACCCTCATTTAAGAAGCCATCTATTTTCAAAAAAAAAAAAAAACGATCCAAAGCGATAGAAAAACACATATTCTCATGTAAGTTAATTAGTCACTCCGAACGTTATGATTAAAACCGTCGCTGGTCGAAGGACGCCGCATTAAAACACGGAGTGAGTTTTATTTGGGAGTTTATTACTGCGCAGTGATGTGGCAGTCAAAATCGACTATTAAGAACTAAATTACAAAATATAAATCTTACAAGCTAGAGCCCAATGCGGCTGCCTACGCCGCCGATGTGCTGCGCTTGCGCCTCGTGCAGCGTGTCACATTACCGCGGCGGATGTCGTTGACCAAGCTGCTGCCCATGGGAATGCTGGGTCAGCTACTTGGGTGCAAATGCCTGGTGGTGAATTTGCTCAAGCATTTGCTGGTTGGGGGGCTGAGCGTTGTGGGTTAACTTGTACACTTTGCCCCCTATCTACTATGTCACTTAGCTTTTAATTGCAAGTTTAAAGAGTGCACAAATTGAATAGCTGCCTTCCGCATAAAGAAATCAAATTTCCAAATCCAAATAAAATGATAAAAAATATGGTGTTTTCCTTTCGAATATCAGTGCTTTTCAGCGAAATATTTAAATCAAAATATTATTGCATGAATATACAAATATGTTTTGTAAGCTTTAATAGCTAGGGATTGTTTTCTCACACTTTTTGCTTCAATTATCTTGCTCTTCCGCTTTCAGTGTGTCCATACACCAACGCCATACCAAATACCTTCTTATTTCACATTCTATTATTACGTTACAATGTCATCGATATATATCGGCGTTAGAACTTTACAAACCCAATATATTACCCATTCCCTGTGCAGCAAACATACATATGTACATACATTGTTAGTTGTCAGCAGCGTTTGCATTACTGGCGACAACCAAATGGCATCAAGCAGCAGCGAGGCCAATTTATTGCGCATTGTGGTATGTTTTCTAGGAGCTGCCGGAGTATTTACCTAAAAGATTGGAAAGTTTTTTATTTTTTTCATCGAAATAAAAAAACAGTGATCAATTTCGTATAAAATGTTTATTTTTTAATATGTTATTTTAATGTTATGTATTAATCTATATATACAAATGGAAGTATGTATGTATATATGTCCTATATAGACTCCGAAACCGCTCATCCAATTTTGATCAAATTTTGTGGAATTATCCTGTGAAGTTTCCTGGCGATTATTCAAAGCATTCAAGGATAGTTTTCTGGCATATTTATGATCATTTGTATTTGTTTGATAGTCACTTTTTACTCTGTCCGTCAGTGTTTTGCAGCATCTTTTTGTAAAAAAAAACCACAGAATCTAAAAATGAGCCAAAAAAGAGCAGCTGGATACGCTAGCTTTTAATTTAACATATTGTTGAAAAAATCTTCTTTTTGCCTTATGTTTATTATGTTTATACCTTTTTTTTTATTTATTCTGGTTCTTCGAGTATTGGACTTCCTCGGATATTTATCCATTTAGTAGGCACTGATATCGTTTGAAAAATTGAACATTAGTCAACATTTTATGAACCGTTGAATTAAGCTTCTACTAACGATGGTAGTATTTTCAATAAATATGTTTGCAGTCTTCGATGCATTTTCTCCATATTTATGTTAGG